GTCCATTTGCCTTATTCGGTACGAACCTGCAAAAAAGTTTTCACTCGTCAATGGTTTTCTTTTTTTATTCAAACTATGGTTAAAAGTTTGACACGTATGTCCTGAATGCTAACGGAGGCTAAATATAATATTTATATAGCATCATATATTTAATATATACATATTGTCTGACATATCTAAATGTTTGTTTGTGACTCTCTTTTCTCTATATATATAAAGTCTGGATTATATATTAATACTTTTTTATTTAATACAATAATACAAAGTCAGCTATAGAATGGCTATAGAAAGCAAAGATATTTTCTACTATAAAATGCTTTGTTTGCTTTATTTTCTGTAAGAATAAAGACATTCAATATGCCCATAAATTGCGGGCAAACAGAATAACAGAATTTGAATGACTGTCAAAAAGAAAAGACTTGTTATTGCATAACTCAGTGTTCTAGACATTCGTTATATTTCAAAGTATTCAAAGGTTTCTGAGAAAAATACGGCAAAATATATATGAAATTGGGGCGTAATAGTTTCGGCGTTTTTGAAAAAATAAAAAATAACTTTTTTGCCTCACACCCGTATTCTCCAGACCTTGCCCCATGTGATTTCTTTTTTTTTCCGAAGTTGAAATCCTTCCTTGCTGGGTGGAAATACAAGTCTCGACAGGCACTTGGATCTGCCATTCATCAGTACCTTACTACTGTCCCCAAATCAGCGTACGGAGACGCCTTTAGGAAGTGAATATATCGGCTGAAACTTTGCATTTCTAGCCACGGGGAGTACTTCACGGGCATGAAATGAACACTCTTTAGCTAACTTGAAATTTGATGTCTCCAGATAGAAATAAGCTATACATTTCGAACATCCCTCGTACATGAAATGTCCGAAGTTTCTGATTTCGGTTTTTCATTTCTATTATTTACAGTAGAAGAAAAAAAATCGTATTCTCCAGGTCGATTATTTAAATCTTAACACTGATTGTTCTATTGTTGTTTGTTCATGTTTAATTTAAAAATTGTAAAATCTATGTTTCGATTAATTTTAGCAGCAACAATGACCCATTTGCTTTGACTATAATTGTGTGAGTGTGCTTTTGCAACAACAAATAAAGGCAATTATAAGTTTAGAAAAGCATTGTACTAGGCTATATATGTTTTATCACTTCAGAAAATGACACACCTTAGATGAGTCAAGTTTTCATCATAAAGAGCATGTTGAATGCTTATCAAGCAAGAAAGCAGCATTGAATTTAAAATAATCGGACGCAAAACTTTTGGTAGCAAAATGTAACCAAGATGGTATTTTGTCCTCAACCGTACAAACACCATTAATGCCATAACCTTTGGTAGTTGCCAACTATAAAAAAAAATATGGTACAAATGATTATTCAGGCATTGAGCATTTCGAAAACTGTAACAGATAAACGATAAGAATACTTTAAATAAATAAAAAATAAATAAAAAAAGAAAGAAAATAATAATTTAATAAAAAAACAAAATAATAAATGTGAATAAATTGGATAACATTTTTCAGACTTTAGGAATTACAAATTACGTTCTATGCAGAGAAAATAAAAATGCAATTTTACTCGGCGAACATCTGAAGGTTTCAAACACTTTTATATTATTGTACTATCTTAATAACAAGACACGTCTATATATAAGATATAACTATATTTAACCGTTTGTAATAATTTTATATATTTGTAATTAATGATTTAACGCATCTTAGACGGATGACATTGTGTACATTAGAGACTTCCTGTCAGAGAAAATGTGTATGTTAAGATCGTATGATACATTTCGAAATTATAAATAAAAGGCTTAGTAAACGATACGAGGACCGGTAATGTAATAATTCAACAATTCTAACGATCACCGGTAGATGACCTTATGAAACTTCTGTCATAAAAATGATCATTTTTATACATCTCTTGTCAGAATATTTCTCGTAACTATAGGGATAATTATTCGGACAAATACTGTCGAACGAAGAGATGTAAGACTTTTGTCGGAATAATTACATGTACAGAGTTTTCTATATTCTTTAGTACATAAGGTGTCAATTTGTTTTTTTATACGAACTCTCAGCCCTAGATTAACATTTAGTAATTAAAAGTCTCTCTATATATACTCCTTATTCGGATTTGTTTAAAGTATTAAGTGAAAATATAATGTTTAAACACATCATTTGCATTTATATATAATAAATGTATCGTTTCCATACTAAATTGATCTTAGCATAACAGGAAAACATTACATGTAGTCATACAAAATCAGAGCATTGTTTTATAGTCATTACTAGTCAATCCTAATTAAATCACTCCATAAAGTTAACAAACTTTACATGCTAACACTCAGTTGACACGAAACACATAATAAGTGTCATCCGCTTGTTACCTGTTTATTTCTCTACGCACGGAAAAAACCATGCAAACATGCTTCAATTTAAAATATTAGAGAAAATTATTTCTTCAGGAAGAAACTCGACTGCTGTAATATCGTGACATTGTATCTAAACTTAAATGCTGTTATCGCGACCTCAAATTGATGGTTCAGTTCGTATACTATATTCAACCATAACCATTGTCTGAAATATAAATGATCAAATTGAAGTTTTCAAGTTCGTCTCTTACTTTATAATCATATTCAAATGCAGGCACTGATTTTATAAAATATAACTGAATATCCATAACTCAACGTGTTGTCTGAAATAATCCTAATAAAAAGTGATTAAAATCAGCTAAGAGTAACATTTTTGTAAATATCTTATTAGGAATTACAAATATCTTAACTAGTGTAATTTTGAATATGATTATCCGATTGTCTTGACAGTTTTTTTTACATATTTTCCTTTTTCAATATTGCGTTGATTATTCCACTTTACAGGCTTTCTCGGATTAATAAACCAGTAATTAACAATTTTTCCGCAAGTAAACGACTACAAATCCCATGGCGGTTGGAGAAAAATGACCATTAGATTCAATTTCTGGAATCAATTGTCACGCAGAGATTACAAAGTCCGATGCTCTCCCTATTTAGCTAAGCGGGCGAACTTGTTTTGTCAGTTTTTGACAAGTTATTTTGAGAATTCCAGAAAATCAAATTAATTTATTGTGCCTCAAGGTAGAAAAAAAAAACAACTGCGTAACAGTTGCTGATTACAAACAATTTTGTTACACGATAAATGCATACCACATAATTGTAGTTGATTCCATTACCATTGCATAGATAGCAAAATGTTAGTTTTTTTTTAAATATTTTTAGTTTAAGGCTGATAATTCAACAATCCTGGAGCAATGCTTAATATAAAATCTATACAAATCTTGTCATTCACAGATATTAGATCGAACACAAAAACAAAGAAAGAAAACCTTAAGAAAATGAATTTACAAAAGGGTGATTTCTAACTAATTTTCCAAAGTTTCTTTCATACAGCCATTTTATAAAATCATTTTCAAACTTGTATTCCATAATTCATTAACCTGAGTAGACCGCTCATTACACATACCAAAAATGTGTTGAGTAAGATAAAAAAGGAAATAAGAAACAATAATATCAGATGAATGACTAAAGGAAGAGGGTTTATTTTCAATATTTCCGACAGGAAGGAAAGTTTCTCAAAGCTTGCTCTGTAGGAAAACAAAATGCTGTTTTGATGAATACAAAATCAAGTGAAACAAACGTTAAATAAGGACTGCATCATAAAGTATAGTCTTGAATGAATCATTTAATATCATCTTGAGCAAATGCATCAAAATAAAACTGTAATGATTCAATTCATTCAATACAAATTCACAGTAATTTTCATTTAATTGTCATCCAATTTACAAAAAAAAGTTTCTGATAGCTAAGCGGGTTGCAATTTTCAAACTGAGCAAGATTGAAATAATTAATGTACAAAAAAGCTTCATTTTTAGAAATTCATTGCCCTTAGTCAGGAAATCTCTAGCAAATCTGATTATAAAAACTAAAAAGACGCTTATAAAAAACACAACTTATTAAATCTTTTCCCTGAGACGATACTTAAATTGGTTAATCATAAGGCAAAAGGACAGAGTCAATTTGAAATTATTTTTAAGAGATAAATCTTTTTATAAAAGTTAAATAACCAGCTTTTATATACCCCTCAACATAATCATTTCTACCTTAACTTAGGAAAATTGTGTAATATAAAATACTTATCTGATTACTGTCCATAAGCGGAATTTAAACCTTCTTGCAGCACGTATGGTTATCAGGTATCAATGTATAGACTTCAATAATCAGAACTTAAACGGAATATGACGTCATGTTGAATGAATGAACGAAATGAAATTTATATTTATATGCTGGAAACACATCGCAGAAAAAAGTTATAGTTAAAAAAGATATGTGTTTGTTTTATAATCGTATGCAGATCAGGAATTACAGATTTGGATTCAGAAGTACCTCCCGATATTTGAAACATACGCTAAATGTCTCATTATACGACATAACCTGACGAGACAAAAACACAGACGAAACAAAACAAGACAAAACAAAGCAAAATAATTAATAAAACAAAATTTTGTTTTAATTTTTTAACAGACATGCCATTTTTATAGTACTTTGAAATATCTAATCAAGAAATATAATGATAAAACAATATAATATAAAACATTATTTGTAAATTAAATTTAGAATGAGATTTTCAAAATGTTTTGTTATTGCACCGCTTTCCTGCTACAGCACTCACCTACACATCGGTCGAATGTTTCACTGTCGCTTGAAGTAACGGTAGTGTATTCAATTAAGGAGTATACCGCATTAGAAGCATCAATAAAGTTACCGCTGAAAGAAATTTTTAGATAAATGTTTTGTTCTATCAATTTTAGTGCAATGCCATATTTATATATTGATTTTATGAATGCATTGGGGCAGTGCATGCGTAAACTTTCAATCAATGAATTGCTATCTATTTGAACTCTCTTATGATTTAATTGAAGCAGAATTTAACATGTATCTCAGATGTGTGTACCATAATTTATGTCAGGTGGTGAATTCCAGCTTTTGGCTGGAAACATCTTGTCAGGGGATCTTGAGAATGCCATGCAAGAGAGAGGTATGAGGATTGAGGTGATCGGAGGCAACCATACAAAGGCCGCTCTAATGACATTGTATCGGCAAGGATTACGAAACCCATATGTCCAGATGACATTATATGAAGGCCTGACTGATGAGGAGGCTCTCAAGGTGGGTCTCCATCACAATGAAACCAACCTGAAGGCGAAGCCTATGTCGTTTTTAGATAAGGTGGATGTTATTGTGAAGCTAAAACAAGACATCAAAGCTGTGGCATCAGTTTTTCAGAAGAAGGTAAATTTTCTTACATTATTGAAAATCAAACAGCACCATTAACGATATATATGTATCCAATTTCAATAAATGTTATATTAAATGTAATTGAATCTGAATTTATTTGATTTTATGTTTTGGAAATTTTCTTCTTTGTTCTATTAATGGTTTATTTGATAGTTGTTTTTTTTCTTTGTGACTATAAATGGTGTCTTCTTTAAACTTAAGATGAAATTTTTTTGTTATACTCACATCATGTATGGCAATGTTCATAAGTCTAGCATCTTTATTTCAAGAGTTATCTCCTCTTTAAGAATTTTGCTTTTAAAATGTTATATTTTGGTAACAACTTGTAGGGATTTACTTTTAGAGATTTTTCAGTCTGTCTGTCTGGCCATTGCTAAATAACTGTTTCCTTAGATCATTTTTAAAGAACTTGGAACTTTTCCAACAAATTTACTTAAAAGGAGAAAAGTTGAAACATTAGATATACATTTTCATTCTGAGAAAATTGGGTATTTTGATTATCTGTTGTATAAACATTATATCCTTACTAGACAGGGAAACTTAACACAATACAGACAACATAAGAGCACATAAGATTTAAGTTCATTCATACAGTGGCATAATTAAATGGTCAATGGCTATCAGAATGTTGACAGGGTTCTTTCTGTGAGGGGATTGTGAGTTATTGCACAATTAAGTTACGGCTTCAGGGAATAAAGATGTTGATAAAATGTTTTTTTCGCAACCTCATTTGATAAATTACTGTAAATCGTAACCCGATAATTACCAAATTATTGATTCTCTTTATGAATATTAACCAAATGATAACAAACAAATAGCAAAATAATGCAAATGATGAGCACATTTTAGATAAGTCCTACATGTCTAAATACATGTACATAATATATTGTTCAATAAAATGCCCCGGATAAAATACCGCTGCTGAAAAAACCGATTACAACGGTGACAGGTATGTCTTTTTCACGGCCATTAACAAGTGAGCATGTTTTTGCCACTTCGTTTTTAGCAAACTTCGGATATAACAAATGATATTTAAATGTCCCATTGAATTTGTTATAAGTGGAGTCGACTGTACTTCATTTTTTCGGTTTTGCAGATCATTAATCAAAACCATATTTGGAATTGACCGGATTAAATTATCTCTCTCATTGCATTCTTTTGAATTTTTCTTGTCAGCAGTAAAAGACCATGAATATTCAAGGGACTAACTTGAAACTTAAAATATTAGTACAGTCCCTGGGGACCTTTTGTGTGCAAAAAAGGTCCATGGATAAATGATATACCAATGTAAAGCTAAATGTTTGAAGTTTACAAAAAAATTGGGTAGACATGTCAAATCATGGTACGTTTTGAGAAATCCAAGATGGCCGCCAAGATGGCCGCCAAATTATTGAAAAATGGCTAGTACGCAATTTATATGATAAAATTAGTTCTTTTTTGTATTTATTTTGGTACAGGTGATGTTAAAACTTCACATACTATTGGAACAATATGAAAAAGGGTCCTTTTCCTTTTTCTTATGCATATACTCTTGTTCTCATAGAGAAATTTTGCTAAAAAAGCATGAAAAAGTAACAAAAATCGACATGGGGCTGGCATTTTTTCCTATCAGTCGAGACATAGTTGTGAAAACTAATATTTTTACCATATTATACAAAGACCTGATCAACAACTTACTAATTGTACCCTTATTTTAATTTTTATTGTGTAAGAATGTGAATTCTGACATTCCTTAAGTGGGTGGGGTACACGAAAATTGAGTCCCAATTTCTAGTGAACTGATATATAACGATTATTAAGACTAAGAATAACCAACAAGATTACATTTTAAAATGTTCCTAAGTCTTTAATTTTCTAAAAGGTAGATTTTTATTGTACCAACAACATTAATTGGTTCTGTTGCCATGGCAACAAAGTGGTTAAATGAGAGAAACCCGGAAACGTATGAGGCTTTCGGTTTTATCATTTCAAGCATGTTGTAGAAGTTAATGTCATGATTATGCATTACAGAATTCAGAGTTGGATACATTTGACCATAAAAAAAATCATTTCAAATTTCACTATATTTACTTTCCATGAAAAAACACAAATTTGAATTAAAACATCGGTAACATTTTGCTGAACCGTTACTGTAACAATAAAAACGCTTAAAGTTTTAGAGGCAAAAGATAATAATGAAATCTACTCAGAGTTATATTGAAATATAAAATTTATGCTTGGTGTTTGGCCCGATTTGAGAAAAAAACTTTTCACCATTCTTCATTTATTGGTCATTAAATAATAATAATAAATAACAAATAACAAATAAAGCAAAACAGATCCCACAGATAAAATGTGATAAGAAGGAATAGACAATATGTCAATATGTTGTGATGAAGAACGTCTTCAAGATAATGTGCCATAGATGCATCTGGAAAACCTAAATGATTGTGTTCTCATCTCAATGCAATACAAGCACAGCTGAAATATTTTAACAGTTGGAGAAACATGGATAAAATCACCATTTTGTGTTAGAAATTTGACACTTTCTTCTATTCTAAAAAATATAGAGCAGCATAAATTATAAATCCTGTATAGATGTCTTGTTACGCAAAACAAATAGGCCATATTCCACCGTTGCCTCAAAATTCTTTATAAATTATTTTGTGACCTACAGGTCAGACCACCTAATTCTTCGTTATACGGTCAGTATGTCTTAAATCATCATCAACAAACTCCGGACCGTTCATCAAATGACATCTTGTCTAATTACCAAAAACAACCCTCCATTTAAACACATTAAAATAGAGAAAAACAGAATCCCTGAAACGTTGTATAGAATCTCAATTGTTTTACCTATTGAAAATCGGATACAGTAGGGACGAACTCCAGTATACATTAAGAAAAAGCTACAGAAGAATGTACACAAAACTAAAACTTAAAAGTCTCAAATTAATTATACAATATAAGTAATTCCGATATGTAAATAATATGAGTTTTGTTACCGCAGTCTCACTTCGTTCTTTAGAAATATGTGACTATTTAAGAAGATGGCGGTCTCTTTCATAATATTATCATAAATCACGTTGAAAAGAATTTAAGATTATGTTTATATGCAAATAGTTTTACATAGCCATATCTAAATTTGTATAATTGTTGAAATTTCATTTTTATGTCGAGTATTCTTTTTTAAAGTTTATAACTATGATATAAATTTGTTGATTTTAACGCATTTGAACATGTTATATATATCAGAAAGGCACTTAATAAATTTGGTGTAATGATAGATTTTGCTTTTGTTTTCGACTGTTTCTTACCAGTTATAAGAAAAATATGTGTTTGTAAAACTTTAGGAGCGATTTTTGTTCCACTCACACAAAGAAGTATGTAAATTGTCGTCACGTAGTAATAAGCTATAACTATATACAGATAAGCATTCAAATAAAATCTCAAAGACATTGGTAATCATATCAACTGTTACAGTTTCGTTATTTTCTCATCAATAAATATCCATAAATCATGTGGAATAACCCGCGGCTGAACGTATCCAAAATTTATAAGCTTTCTGTTTTAGATAAGTCATTATAAAAGTGCAGTCTTAAAACCATAGTTTCAATGTAATTGGAGATGAGGAAAAACAGCATTTCTCAAATTGTCCGGTTGCATGTAATGCACATGAACACTAGTGTGTTCCAAATTTAGATTAAGTTCAGGACGTATTTGAATTTGGAATCAGGATGAACATATGACTTTGATTTCTTTATTTTACAAACAATTTTACTGTTTTCTTCATTTGAATAAGCCAAATTTCACTTTCTTACATACTTTGTAATTCTGATTTGCCTTAAAAGATGACCAGGTGTCAATATTATGAAATAATGCACGGAGGGAAACATATTAGGCTTTGGAAAGTCGCCACAAAGCCTTTTAAAGTGTTGATGTGACGTAAAAGTAGGCTATATTTGATAAAATTTGACAGAAATTTTGTTTTGTTGTTGTTTTTTGCACAAATCGGATTATTGTATATCTTAGTCACAGAAGTTAAAAATAGAACTGACAATTTGTAATGTTTTCAAATATTCCCAGAAATAAATAAAAAGATCTTGAGCTTTTATATGTATGGCTTTTTAAGATGGGACTAAACCAACATTGTTAATCGCCTTCCGCGTAGCGGAAATGGGATTATAGGAATGGACTCCGTCTGTCTGTCCGTCCGTCCATAACACTTTCGTGTCTGCTCCATAACTTTTTAACCCCTGAACTTTTTTTTTAAATAACTTGGCACAAGTGATCACCATAATGAGACAATATGCAGAGCGCAATAATTGGGTTGCTATCCCCAAGTTCAAGGTCACACTTTAAGGTCAAATGTTAAAAGTCTTCATTTAATAATAAAATCTCTACATTTCGTGTCCGCTCCATAATTTTTTTAAAGCTGTAAAGTTTTGAAATAACTTGGCACAACGGATCACCATTATGACACGACGTGCAGTGCGCAATAATTGGGTTGCTTCACAAAAGGTCAAGGTCACACTTTAAGGTCAAATGTTAAAAAGTCTACATTTCGTGTCCGCTCCAACATTTTAACCGCTGAAATTTAAAAAAATCCATCTTGGCACAATTGATAACCAGTATAAGAGAATGTGCAGAACGCAAACATTGGGTTGCTACACCAAAGGTCAAGGTCAAATGTATAAAAATCTACATTTCGTGTCCCCTCCACAACTTTTAAACCTATGAAATTTTGTTTAAATAGCTTGGCACAATTGATCACCATTATGAGACGATGTGCAGATCGCAATAATTGAAATGCTACCCCAAAGGTCAGGGTCACATTTACAGTTCATATGTTAGAAAGTCTACATTTCGCGTCTGTCTCTAACTTTTAAACCTCTGAAATGATTTTAAGTTAAATTGGCAGAAATGATCAACATTATGACACCATTGGCAGAGCACAATAAGCAAGGCACAACCCTGAAGGTCAGGGTCAAATTCAACGGTCCAATGTAAAAACATTTTTTTCATGTCCGCTCTATAACTTATTGACAATTCCAAGGTTTTAAAAATACTTAGCACAATATGATCCCCACCACGATACAATCTACAGACCTCAACATCTAGGTCGCTGCAACCAAGGTGAAGGTTATATGTTCTCCATAACTTTTTGACTTTATGGAAGATTTTAAATAACTTGGCACAAATAATCGCCATCGTGAGACTATGTGCTTATGATATGCATGACACAACATCAAGGTCATGGTTGGTAAAAGGTCAAGAAGTACACATTCATTTTTCTTGCGAAGCCCCGGAGTAAACTTTCTTTACACAATGTAAATATAGGAAAAACATGAAAATATTCTTCTCCATAACTGCAGGACCTAGTATAGAATATAAATAACTTCTCCCAAACCGATGCCTATAGCTTATTATTTCTGTTGTAGCCTTGTATAGACCAGTAAAAAATTTATTCAAATGAAAATTTAACCCACCCTTAGGGTCAACTTATTTCATATGGAGACACATAGGAAAACTTTTTAAAATAAAACTTTTTCCAAAACCAAATACCCAGATCAGATTAGATTTTGAGTTAAAAGCATTGTCAAAAAAACCTTAATTTATTTTTCAAATCTTGACAATCTTGTCAAAGTTGCCCTAACCCCAGAAGTCATTTTACTTTGTGTTATAAAGAAAAGGCTTTGAAAACTTTCTTCTCCATAAATAAAATGCTTTGATATTTAATTGTGAAGCATTCATTCTATGACCATATCAATTTATGTCACGATATAAATCATATAATAGTAATAATACACAAATTCTAAGCTTGGTAAAGTCATGATCCGTTTGATTATAATTACCTTTCCCAAGGGTCAATTGATTTACATAGTCAAACTTATATATAAAATCCTTTATAAAATCATCCCTTTAACCCCATTGTTTAGAGCATGTGAAACAATTTCTAGAAGACTTTTACCATGTTTCTTTAAATCATGAAAGGGCCGGGTCTGAGTTATACGCCAATTTCAACACTTCTTTGTTGATAACTTGAAGGTTGGTTAAACTATCTCACTTTCATGGATAAATAACCAGAAGAGTAATGACCAATTTCTACTTAGCTACGGTACTAACTTTTTTGACAGACAAATGACCGTAAAACTCAATGACCGAGATCAATTGTTGTCTGTGGAACAAGAGACGCCTGGATTTCACATCCGACACTCTCAGTATAGGCATCAAATAATGATCATGAGTCTGGATTAAAACAAGAGCCGGTTGAACCAGGTGATGCTCCTCGACTAGGTTTTGGACACACGCCCGGCGACTATATGCTCCCCCATAATTTTCGGGGAGCATAAAAATGGCCCTGCCCAGATGTCGATTTTTATATAAAAAACTCTTTGTCAGAAACCACAATGGAAGGCCATTTGGTTGGAAGAATTGTCTTTGTTCAAATCATGGCCCCACTGGTATAAGGTGACCTAGAATTTAAGACCTCGTGACTTACTTTCTTGTTTTGAAGCTAAAGAAATTTGGATAACAGACACAATATGAAATGCCAGCTGACCTTAATCTGTTCTAGTGACCTCTTTGTATTTTGATTGTAAAATTTCAGATGCAGAGTTATGCACTGAGATCAGTTGACCTAGAATTTTATCTAGTGCAAGTTAGAATTACATAATACAAGCTACAACCAAAAAACTTGAACTCAACAATAAATTCGATTGTCATTAAAACATGATATTGGTTGACCTAGAATTTGAACCAGTGACCTATTTATTTCTCGTTTTAGATGCAAAGTCTTAAATGTTTACCCTATGTACAGTTGCAAACATTTGATAATGTTTATATACATTTCTACCTTAAGACTGCCTTTTACTTATTATTATCACCATTAATTTTACTTATTATTATCACCATTAATTATCCTTTCCAAACATAAAAACATTCACATCTGACATGACCTTTTCCAATGTATAGCAGTTTGAAAAAAGCAAATGCATGATGCAATTTCTTGAAATAAATTTATTCATCTAATTTCAAAATATCGGCTGTTATATGTGTTGATAATTTCCTAGAATTAAATGTGACTTCTTTTAATGTTACATTTTTTTTCAATTTGTTACCATGGCATTGTGCACAGATTATTTATCTATAAGTTTGTGTCATTCTTAACAACATGCTTAAAATGCTAAAAGTTGAAAGTGTCATACGTTTCAGATGTGTCTTTCATTTTACTTCTCCGTTGCCATGGCAACAGAACATGTTGAATATTGATAAACAAAATATCAGTCTAAGTTTCTTAATTATTTATAACTTTAGGTACATGCCAAAGTGCAATACATGTTGACTATTCATAGTTTTAATTATCACAACAAACCAGTTAACAAAATACTGACACTTAGTTTTCGTTACCCCACCCACTTTAAGAATATCAGAATCTACATTCTTTTACAATAAAGATAGAAAATGAGGGTGATATTAGTATGATCTTGTTCAAGTATTTGTAGTATATGGTAAAAATATTCATTAACACCGCTATGCCTTAGCTGGTAGGAAAAAATGTCAGCCCCATATCAATTTTTGATAATTTTTTCATGCATTTTTCAGCAAATTTATCTATGAAATTCAGAGAATATGAAAAAATAATGGAAATGCCTCCATTTTCATATTGTTCCAATAGGAGGTGAAGTTTTAACATCACCTGTACCAAAATAAATACAAAAAAGAACTAATTTTATCATATAAATTGCGTATTAGCCTTTTTTCAATAATTTGGCGGCCATCTTGGCGGCCATCTTGGATTTCTCAAAACGTACCATGATTATGACATGTTCTACCCAATTTTTTTTCCATAAACTTTCCTTAGATTATCTTCCATTTATTTTTTCCTTAGTGGAAGGTAGCTAGTACATTACTTGAAAGATTTTAATGTCAGTCTCTTGAACAACACTGTAGCTATCATCTTAAGGAAAACAGCAAAATTTACATATGTGAACATTGATTAATTTGATACTTTCTCTGTTTCAGAATGGTCGTCAGGTGCGAAATGACTTGGGCGTACATATGGCTGTATCGAGGTGGCCAAACGAGATTATTGAACGCTTGCACCAGGCGGACCAAAAATGGTGTTCAAAGAAGCCACTCTCACAAACCCTTTTGAGAGGGCTTATAAAACACAGTGAAATGAGGAAGTATATGGACAAGGGAACAGAGATTTTAGTTCAAGAAGGGGTTCAAGCTTTTAAGGAAAAAATGTAAGTCATCTTTTGAAAAATGTTCCTGCAAATAAAGAATCAAGAAAAATTAACAAAAAATTAAAAAAATAATTTTGTCTCCTAATTTGATGAACAATGTTTGAGATAATAATTTCCTTAATAGACAAATATGTATATGAATAGTGTTTCTTTGTAATGCTAAGCAAAATGTCTGCCCTTGTCTGTGTGCTCATAAATATAGAGGAATTACTTAAACATGACAATTCTGTTTTTGTGTCTATAGAATTCAGACTGACAGCATGTCATATGCCATAATCAGAAGATTAAGTTGAAGTTTAAAATTTAATATAATACTGACATGTAATTTTAGCTGGTGAATATTAGAGGTTAATACACATCAGAGTAGGGTCTCAAGATGATAATCAACCCACTAAATAATGGCCCAGAGGTCTTGAGATCGAGGGCATTATTCTTTCAGGGCAGATTAATACTTTCCTGCCTGTCTATGATCTGTTTTAAAGTCTTTAATATATAGTAGCACAATTCTTAATTAGATCAACTTTGGTTTTTCTGTTTTAGTTATTTATAAAGGATGCATCCCTTATATGTATACAAAGTTACTAAGTCCACTTCTGTAGAATTGATTTTTACCAAATAAAATTGTTGGGTTTTTTTTTTTCCAGTAAAAACGTTTTGGTACAAATCATGCTTATATTTTTAAGTTGTAACAAAATAATTAAGCAGCCCGTGCTGAAAACCTGCTTTCACTTTACAACAACCTTTTTGGATGACATAAAATTTGACATGATTGTTTCAGTTTTTGCACCTGCTCATGTTCAGCGGACCTATTATGATTACAGGCTCTTAGCACTGGCCGATCATGTGATATTCATAGTCAGTTGAAATCAAAGGCAATTTTGATATTATATATAGTAACAAGTGTTGAGTTGTGAAATGTACTGACAATTAAAATATTGATTGAGGTGACAGGCGAGGTCAGCTATTAAGTGCATTTTTTATGCTTTTACTTTAAGATTGCTTAAAAAATCTGCTTTTGAACACCAAATTTTCAGCAAAATTAATTTCTAGGTGAAAAAAAAAGTTGAATACACAGTGAAAATATTCTGATTATCTGACCTGTTATCTCTTATGAAATGTTATGTCTCGACCAATTTTGGGAGAAGGTATTTCAAAGCTATTAATGAAATATCTTATAATCTGATGTGTCTTAAAGCTGCATGCCGCCAGATGAGCTAAAATATTTCAATGAAAGCAAACTCAAGAAAAATGTAATTTTAGGATATGCAAAAGATTGAAGTAATAATTTACATGTTATGTGCGATTAATGATTGATTTTTCACTATTTATTACCATATTACTATTGCATTACTATTTTGAATGTTTTGATCTCATTTTTTATTTCATAACTGTAAACATTTTATTTTTAAAATCATTTTCAAACTTTTTCATGACAATTAGCTGTATTTCTCGAGGCTTGCTGCTATAAACCATACAGTTTGATAAACCTGTTTTGTACATTTTGTGACTTTTACAAATTTGTTAAATGTACCTTTCTCTCACAGGAATCAGTGGATGCAAGTGGAAGGAGTTGGGCATTTCAGGAATAAGAAGCCAACAGAAGCAAAAGGAAAAACAACTGTGAAAGAAACAGTGAAAGAAACAAATGAGAAAGAGCATTCTGTGAAGGTAAGCAGACAGATTCATGCTTCAGAATAAAATTGTCTTTACATTTTGTAGAATTATTTATTCAGCTTTCTAAACATGTGCATTTTCCCTATTCACAAATTATCATCTTGCTAATTGATTGAACTGGCAAATTCAGATAAGTTATATCACTTGAGATTTCAGAAGCTATAAGAAGTCCTTTTAAATAATTGAAAAAAAGATGTTTGCTTGAATGTCAGTAACAAGGATGTGCTCAGTTTCCCCTAGAGCCTTACAGTTTTCTACAAAAATTATACAGATTATGCTCAATGGATCAAACTTGTCTCTTTCTTTTGAATCTAATGTTTCACATATAGACATATTAAGCAAAACACATACATTTTGGGGACTATACAGCCTTAAGTTTGGATGTTTGGCATAATTATAGCATTATGAAATAAAAAATGTTTTATTGATAATGGTTCCAGATATTTATGGCCATGCCTGATGCAACCTAATGACTTAGTGATGCATTGAAATATTAATACTTATTATTGTCGCAAAGGATCAGAGGCGATGCTATATGGCCCATGACCTTTTGATGACCATGACTTTCAAGGTCACATTATTGAATGTAGGCTAGATTGTTATAACTTTGTTATTTACTCATGGACTTGATTTATATTAAGACAAAAAAATAACAGCTTATGACAAACCCGTTCACTAAATAATTCAAATATGACCTTGACCTTTATTTGACCATGACAGTCAATATCAAATTATTTAAATTAGCTAATTAAATTGTCATAACTTTGTTATTCATATATATGGATTTCATTTGTATTTTAACATATTAAGAACACTCAGACAAAATCAGCATGCTGATTTATTTTAATGTGATCTTGACGTTTAATCCACTTCGGCCATCAAGGTCAAAATTTTTGAATATGCTGATATTGTCATAAATTTGTTATTTATTTATGTATGAGAAAAGATTCTTATGAACAAGAGCGATCAGTAATCACATGTGTCGCCTCATGAAGGCAAATTTCATGTTGGGACAAATTTTGTGACAGACAGGCAGACAGACAGACAGTGCACAACTAGACTTGGTACTGATCATTCCTGTAAAGTTTGGATAAAATTGCACCAGTAGTTTATGAGTAGTAGTCCGGACAAGCTTTTGCGTATCTGGCAACACACAGAAAAAAACACCTTTTTATCAAAGGGCCATCACTCGGCCAAAAATCATTCAACCGGAAAACCCGTGCAATATGCGCAAGGACTTGAGCTACAGATCAATCCTGTAAAGTTTCATTGAAATTGCATGAGTGGTATAAGAGAAGTAGTCCGGACAAACTTTAAAAATAAAAATTATTAAAGGGCCATAACTCTGACAAAAATCATTGAACCGGAAAATGCTGACAATATGCACAACTAGACTTGGTACTGATCATTCCTGTAAAGTTTGGATGGAATTGCACCAGTAGTTTATGAGAAGTAGTCCGGACAAGCTTTTGTGTATCTGGCAACACACAGAAAAAGAAACCTTTTTATCAAAGGGCCATAACTCGGCCAAAAATCATTCAACCAGAAAACCCGTGCAATATGCGCAAGGACTTGAGCTACAGATCAATCCTGTAAAGTTTCATTGAAATTGCATTTGTGGTATAAGAGAAGTAGTCCGGACAAACTTTAAAATTAAAAATTATTAAAGGGCCATAACTCTGACAAAAATCATTGAACCGGAAAATGCTGACAATATGCACAACTAGACTTGGTACTGATCATTCCTGTAAAGTTTGGATGAAATTGCACCAGTAGTTTATGAGGAGTAGTCCGGACAAGTTTTGTGACGGACGCACGGACAGACAGACAGACAGACAGACAGACAGACAGACAGACGGACAGACAGACGACGGAGAAGTGATCCCTATATGTCGCCACTACTCCGTAGAGGCGACACAAAAAACTGACATGACAATTGATACAAAATGTGTTTTTGACCATTGTATGATTTTGACCGCAAAGCCATATTGTTGAATTTAGCTTAAATTGTCATTATTTTGTTGTTTTTTATTATTAAATAATTTAATTCATACTGGGATAAAAACACACCACTTAGACACTGGTGAGTTGATAATTTTTAATAAAGACCATCAAGGTCAAGTATGAAATTTCCGTAAAATATTTTGTACCAGAAAATTGTATTGTATAACTATATGCTACCATATTCTACCTTTGATTTTTTTGACTTTAAAAGTAATAAAAAATGGTGTGTGGCTCTGGCTAGCAGTGGCTGTGATAGAGTTTATCAATTTCATCCATATTCATTATTTTCCATCAAAACAAAATTTGAATAAATTGTTTTGTTTCAGCAAAATTACCAAGTTGGAGATGTAGTAATGGCTAAATGGAAAGACGGCAGAAAGTATGATGCAGTGATCAAGAGAGTTGAAATAAGTAAGAAAATTGGTATTTTTTTTGAATAAATATTATTTTCAGATAATTATTTTATGTGAAAGCTGGAGAAGTAGTAATTCCTTAAGAATTTGGTGAATTAATACAGTTTGGATAACAGAATTCTTATAACTTTACAATGAATAGACCAGAAAAAAGTCTCTTGATATGTTTAGAGCTTTGAACATACCATTTGCATTACACAAAACTGTATCAGCATGAAATTATTTTAGGGTATTGAATTATATCGTTCATTTCTAATTAACACTTTACCCTCATTGTCAAATTAAGATAAAATTTACGATAAATTCGCTAAAATAGTTAACCAATTCATGTCAAAGAAATATCATATTATTTCTACTAACTATTAAGCTGAGGATATTACTATAAGCAATACAGACTGTAGAAAAGTTAAATAAACAGTGATAGACCTGTAACTACCAAATGCAATACATTTTTAAAAAATGGCATTTAATCATGTTTAATGTGATATATTTTTCAGTTTACCATGTGCAGTATTTAGAAGACAATGTTCAAAGGAAAGTGAGTGAAACTGATATAGAAGAAAAGGATATACAGTAAAAAGTATATGGAGATCTGTCCTACTTGCCCCGGCGTCGGCGTCTGTGTTCAGATTTCAGATTAAAGTTTTGTTGCAGTAAAATATTTTTCAATATAACTTTGTCACTTCTTAAGGTATCAACATCAAACTTCAAATATATGTTCCTTATCATCTACCGCATCTTATGTGACAAGGTTCATAACTCTAGCACCAATAGCTTCAGATTTATCTCCCCTTGAACTTAGAATTTTCCTTAAAAAATACTATTTTTTACTGTTACTTCTTAAGGGATATACTTCATACTTTAAATGTATGTTCCTCAGCATCAACCACATCTTATGTGACAAGGTTCATAACTCTAGCACCAATATTTTGAGATTTATCTCCCCTTGAACTTAAAATTTTCCTTAAAAAATACTATTTTTTACTGTTACTTCTTTATTTCTTAAGGGATCAACTTCATACTTCAAATATATGTACCTTATAATTAACCACATGTTACGTGACAAGGTTCATAACTCTAGCACCAATATTGCAAGAATTATCTCCCCATAAACTTAGATTTTTTTTACTTGAAAAATGTTACTTTTTACTATAAATTTTTTAATTTTAAAGGTATCTACCCAAACTTCAAATACTTATTCCTTACCATCAATTACATTTTATGTGACAAGGTTCATAACTCTCGAAGCAATATTTACAGATTCATCTCTCTTAGAACTTATAATTGGTTTAAGTTACATGAAAAGACAGACTTGTCCTTCTTTTGTTTTATTCTTGTACTGTTTTAGTTTTAGTGTTTATGAAAAGGAGGATTAGTCCTATTATCAATGAATAAGTTGTCCTTTTGTTTTTCTAAAGACTTCTTCTAAAAAAGGATAGTATTTGGTTTGAATTAGATTAAAAGAGGCGGACTAGTCCTCCTTTTCATAATTTAACTGTTTGCATTTGATTATTTTATGAAGGTGGATTGGTCCGTCATTTTATTTCTAAAGACTCCTTGATCTTTAGTTTGAGTTTCTTTAAATAAGGCAGACTAGTGCTCCTTTTCGTTTCGTAAATAAAGTGGATTAGTCTGTCATTTAAGGTTATGTTTTATATTGAAAAAATAGATAGTATTTGATTTGAGTTTGACTGCAAAAAGCGGACTAATCCTCCTTTTTGTTTAATAATTTAAATGTTCAGTTTTGATTATTGTTAGAAGGTGGATTAGTCCGTCATTTCAGTTATTTTTTTTCTGAAGACTCCTTAAATAAAATGAATAGTATTTGATTTGAGTGACTAGTCCTCCTTTTTATTTCGTAATTGAACTTGTTAGTTTTGATTATGGTAAAAAGGTTGACTAGTCCGTCATTTTAGTTAACGTTTTCAAAAGACACATTGAAAAAAATGCATAAATGCATAATTAAACTGTTTATTTTTTTATAATTGTTTTAAGGTGGATAAGTCAGTCATTTCAGTGAACATTTTCTTAAGACTCCTTAATCTCTAGCTTGAGTTAACTGAAAAAGGCGGACTAATCCTCCTTCATGTTTTACAATTGAATTTTTGTTTTGTTTTGATTATTGTATAAATGTGGCTGTGTCATTTCATTTAATGGTTTCTGTAGACTCCTTGATCTTTATCTTGAGTTTCACTGAAAAAGGCGGACTAATCCTCCTTCATGCTTTTTAATCTAATTTTTTTTTTGAATATTGTATGTAGGTGAATTAGTCCGTCATTTCAGTTAGACTCATTGATGTTTATTTTGAGTTTCACTGAAAAGGCGAACTTATCCTCCTTCATGTTTTACAATTGATTTGTTTTGTTTTGATTACTGCATAAAGGTTAATTAGTCCGTCATTTCATTTAATGATTTCTGTAGACTCCTTGATCTTTATTTTGAGTTTCACTGAAAAAGGCGGACTAATCCTCCTTCATGCTTTTTAATTAAATTTTGTTTTTGATTATTGTATGAAGGTGAATTAGTCCGTCATTTCAGTGAATGATTTCTAAAGACTCATTGATGTTTATTTTGAGTTTCACTGAAAAAGGTGGACTAATCCTCCTTCATGTTTTCTTATTGAGTTTATTTTTGTTTTGATTATTGTATAAAGGTGGATTAGTCCGTCATTTCAGTTAATGATTTCTAAAGACTCTTGATCTTTATTTTGAGTTTCACTGAAAAAGGCGGACTAATCCGCCTTCATATTTGATAATTGAGTTGTTCAGTTTTGGTTATAGAGTTTAATTGGAGAAGGCGGACTAATCCTCCTTCATGTTTGATAATTGAGTTGTTCAGTTTTAGTTATTGAGTTTAATTGAAAAAGGCGGACTAATCCTCCTTGCGTTTTTTAGTTTGATTAAAGTTTGATTAGTCCGTCATTCCAGTAAATGATTTCTAAAGACTCTTGATCTTTATTTTTAATTTCATTGAAAAAGGCGGACTAATCCTACTTCATGTTTTATAATTGAGTTGTTTAGTTTTGGTTATTGTATAAAGTTGGATTAGTCTGTCCTATCAGTTTATGTTTGAAAAATGCAAAGTATTTGTTTTGACTTAGATTGAAAAAGGCGGACTAATCCTCCTTTTTGTTTTTATAGTTTTTAGTTTTTTTATTTATTGTATATATTAAGGTGGATTAGTCCGCCTTTTGAGTTAACATTTTCTAAAGATTAATTGAGAAATATTACGTCTTTGGTTGAGGTTACATTGAATGAGGCGGACTAGTCCTCCTTCATGTGTTAAAATTGAACATTTTAGTTTTGATAATTGTGTAAAGGTGGATTAGTCCGCCATTTCAATTAATGATTTCTAAAGACTCTTGATCTTTATTTTGAGTTTCACTAAAAAAGGCGGACTAATCCTCCTTCATGTTTGATAATTGAGTTGTTCAGTTTTGGTTATAGAGTTAAATTGAAAAAGGCGGACTAATCCTCCTTCATGTTTTATATTTGAGTTGTTTAGTTTTGGTTATTGTATAAAGTTGGATTAGTGTGTCCTATCAGTTTATGTTTGAAAAATGCAAAGTATTTGTTTTCACTTAGATTGAAAAAGGCGGACTAATCCTCCTTTTTGTTTTTATAGTTTTTAGTTTTTTATTTATTGTATATATTAAGGTGGATTAGTCCGCCTTTTGAGTTAACATTTTCTAAAGATTAATTGAGAAATATTACGTCTTTGGTTGAGGTTACATTGAATGAGGCGGACTAGTCCTCCTTCATGTGTTTAAATTGAACATTTTAATTTTGATAATTGTGTAAAGGTGGATTAGTCCGCCATTTCAATTAATGATTTCTAAAGACTCTTGATCTTTATTTTGAGTTTCACTAAAAAAGGCGGACTAATCCTCCTTCATGTCTGATAATTGAGTTGTTCAGTTTTGGTTATAGAGTTAAATTGAAAAAGGCGGACTAATCCTCCTTCATGTTTTATAATTGAGTTGTTCAGTTTTGGTTATTGTATAAAGTTGGATTAGTCTGTCCTATCAGTTTATGTTTGAAAAATGCAAAGTATTTGTTTTGACTTAGATTGAAAAAGGCGGACTAATCCTCCTTTTTGTTTTTATAGTTTTTAGTTTTTTTATTTATTGTATGTATAAAGGTGGATTAGTCCGCCTTTTGAGTTAACATTTTCTAAAGATTAATTGAGAAATATTACGTCTTTGGTTGAGGTTACATTGAATGAGGCGGACTAGTCCTCCTTCATGTGTTTAAATTGAACATTTTAGTTTTGATAATTGTGTAAAGGTGGATTAGTCCGCCATTTCAATTAATGATTTCTAAAGACTCTTGATCTTTATTTTGAGTTTCACTAAAAAAGGCGGACTAATCCTCCTTCATGTTTGATAATTGAGTTGTTCAGTTTTGGTTATAGAGTTAAATTGAAAAAGGCGGACTAATCCTCCTTCATGTTTTATAATTGAGTTGTTCAGTTTTGGTTATTGTATAAAGTTGGATTAGTCTGTCCTATCAGTTTATGTTTGAAAAATGCAAAGTATTTGTTTTGACTTAGATTGAAAAAGGCGGACTAATCCTCCTTTTTGTTTTTATAGTTTTTAGTTTTTTATTTATTGTATGTATAAAGGTGGATTAGTCCGCCTTTTGAGTTAACATTTTCTAAAGATTAATTGAGAAATATTACGTCTTTGGTTGAGGTTACATTGAATGAGGCGGACTAGTCCTCCTTCATGTGTTATAATTGAACATTTTAGTTTTGATAATTGTGTAAAGGTGGATTAGTCCGCCATTTCAATTACTTTTTTCTAAAGACACCTTGAAAAAATACTTAGTCTTTGGTTTGAAGTACATTGAAATAGGCGGATTAGTCCTCCTTTGTTTTATTTTGCTATAAGATCTTTGTTAAAATACATGTTTTGCAACTTAGGGTGGATTAATCCTCCTTTTACTGGTTTGGAATTATTTGTAATAAAATTTAAACTCGATTTCATGTGTTTTCCTTTTTATTACTTCAACAATCCAAGCCCTTATTTCAACGTTTTGTTGCAATTTTGATTATTTCAAAAACAGTCCTCCTTAATTTAGTGAAAAAAGATGACCCTAAAATCGCTTATACTGTCCCCAATTAGGGAAATTTTGAGCAAATCCCTAATTATAATATCAGCTGTTGTTAGTAATTTTGATAACATGTATGATTTTAATATATAATTTTTACAGTGCTTAAATCATGGAGGAAAGAAAGTTATCAAAAAAAAATCCTGTCTTTCGTGTGAGCAGGTTTGTGCATCATTCCGACAAGGAGCTGTATCAAACATCAGGCACAAAGGTAAGTTGTCAGGTTAACTTCATGAAACAATAATTTGTTAAATTCATATGTGCATTTTGACTTTGTTAGGAAAATGAAAGATAATGCATTGAGGAACAATGGTGGAATTAGTGTTTTCGTGAAAAGTACTATTCATAAACTTATATCAATAAGACAAATCTTTGATCATTTTGAGAACTGTGTTGTACTATACTGTAATTTTTCAAAAATATTTGATTGTAATGACATTATCATGTATTTCACATATATAAGTCCTGGGGGAAGTTCTTACTATAATGATAGAGACGATAAAAACGGTATCAATGAAATGTTTAGTCATTTTGAACAAATTACATATGAATACCCGGACACCATGTTATTTTTGTCAGGTGACCTTAATAGTCGATGTAAAATTTTTTTAGACTTTATCCCATGTGATAATTTAAACTTTATTTTTGGTAATACTGACTATAATGGTAGTACTTTTGATATTGTACGTCATAGTAAGGATAATATACGTGGCAATAATTATGGTAAATGTTTAGTAAACTTATGCTGTATTTTTGATATTCATATACTTAATGGTCGTTTTCCAAGCGATAAAAACGGTGAATTTACTTGCTTCTCAAATGATGGATCGAGTGTTGTTGATTTTATGATCGCATCTTCTTCTCTATTTTCATACATTAAAGATTTTGAGGTTCTTACTAGAGATGAATCTGATCATTTTCCTATATGTTGTACTTTTGTGTTCCATAAAAACTCTAATAACGCAGATAGCCAAACTGCTCAAATATCATTGAACACTTTTGATAGATATAAATGGCGTGTGTCTGCAGGTACAGATTTCTTGCAAAAATTTAGGGAATTTTTTCATAACCATTACACGATGATAATGGAATCAGTTGATAACTCTGTCAATTCTGCGGTCGACTGTATTACTTCTATTTATAAAGATGCTGGAAAATGCATGCTTAAGAAATTTTGTTTTCATTCGTCTCAACCTCCGTGGTGGGATAACACATGTAATGAGTTAAAAGGAAACAAATACGCGGCGCTACGCACATTTAGATTAAGTAATTCCTCGTCTGACTTACGAATATATAAAGATAAACGAAATAGGTTTAAAGACTATTGTAATGTACGAATATCTGAATATCAGAAATCTAATCGATTAGAACTAGTATCAAACAGTAACAACCCAAGTTCTTTTTGGAAATTAGTGAAGAAAGGCAAAACTGTTACTATGTCTGATCCTAGTATTTCTTGTACAGAATGGTTCAATTATTTTAAAGATTTATTGTATGACGAAAATTCAGTGTTTGTTGATCCTTATATTGGAAACGAACATGATTCCGCCGATGAAACAGCTCAGACATTAAATGAACCATTCACTTTGCTAGAAATTAAACATTCTATATCTAAATTAGTTAATAATAAAAGTTGTGGCCCAGATGGCATACCTTCCGAATTTTATAAACATACATCAGATGAAATAGCGCCTATTCTGCATACACTATTTAACAAAATACTCGAAACAGGGCAATTTCCAATATCTTGGAGAAAATAGCATGATTACACCAATTCATAAATCAGGGCCAAGTAATAATCCTGGTAATTATCGCGGCATATCTATTACAAATACATTATATAAAGTCTTTACAGGTATTATAAATAAAAGATTATACGATTGGGCCGAAAATCAAAGAAAAATCGATGAATCTCAGGCAGGATTTAGGCATGGTTACTCGGCTATCGATAATGTTTTTTGTCTACAAGCTATGGTTCAAAAATATCTTTCTAAAAAGGGTGGCCGCTTTTACTGTCTCTATGTTGATTTCCGTAAAGCATTTGATAAAGTGAATCGTTCTAAACTTTTCTTGTCACTTGAAAAGAAGGGCGTTTTTGGAAATTTTCTTCGAGTTTTGAAATCAATGTATTTTCATCTCTCTTCATGTGTTAAAACAACTGATTTGTTTAACAATGTTATGATTACTGAATTATTTCCCTGTAACATTGGTACAAGGCAAGGTGATAAGACAAGTTCGACAATTTTTACATTATTTATAGACGAGTTATCTTCCCTTTTAAGAGAGAAATGTGGCACAGGCATTTTCATTACAAATGATATTCCTGATATTCTTTGTTTAATGTTTGCAGATGATGTTGCAAATTGTGCTGAAACTGCTACAAAATTACAACAACAACTTAATGTAATTGATCAATTTTGCTTGAACACAGGCATGGAAATTAAGCTTGATAAAACAGAGATAATTGTATTTCGAAATGGAGGTTGTCTTCGTAATTATGAATCTTGGTCTTTTCGCGGTCAGCCTGTAAATACAACTGCTGTTTATAAATATATGGGTTTGTTATTCACTCCACAACTATCATGGAATGTAGCTCATGATAAACTAGCTTCGCAAGCTCAAAGAGCAATTTTTGCTATCAAAGGTTATGAAAAACCATTTGGTAATTTTCCCATAAAGGAACACTTTAAAATTTTTGATACAATGATCAAACCTATTCTTTGTTATGGATCACAGATCTGGGGGTATGAATTTAGTCCAACTATAGAATCTGTTCATAATATGTTCTGTAAGGGTTTATTAAATGTTCGAAAAAATACAAACACAAGCATGGTGTTAGGTGAATGTGGTAGACTCCCACTTTGTATTACTTATTATACAAATTGCATCCGTTATTGGTGTAAGCTATTAGTTATGCCACCATACCGTTACCCAAAACAATGTGATTTAATGTTAAAATCACTAGATGAAGCTGGAAGAACTTGTTGGGCTAGCAAAATACGAATACTTTTATACAGTTACGGATTTGGTTACATTTGGATTTCTCAAGAAATAGGAGATGTGAATATTTTTGTTAGCATTTTTAAACAACGCATAATAGATTGTTATACTCAAAATTGGCATGATAATATTAACAATGCCAGTAGATGTCACCATTATTGTTATTTTAAAAGCTTATTAAATGTAGAACGGTATCTTCTTATAGAAATCCCTGTAAAATATGATAAACAAGATCGACAAGGAAAGGCGGCATTCAATGAACGCAGCCCCCACTCGACCCAGCAACAAGCGCCAGCGGCAAGGAGCCCAGGACCCCAAAGAAAAACAGGACAGGGCACAAGGCAGAGCACGGGCAGGCAAACCACTACATCAGAATACATAATAAGTAACTTATAAGGAAATAAAACAAAACAAATAAATGATTTAATATAAGGCCCACAATGTCAAAAGGCACAGGGGAAGGGGACACGAGACACGGGGAAGGGGGGGGGGGAGAAATAAAATAAATATAAACCAGGGACAAGGGAAGATACTTACCGTAGACGAGAAATAACAAGAGACACGAGCAAAAGTGTCATCAAAACAGTATAAAACAACATAGACATACATCTGAGGAACACAGAGGGGCGCCGCCTTGGAACGGTCAGCAGCATAATAATGACTACTGGGGAGTTTAAACCGGTTAATGGTGCACCAAACCTCGCTCTTAGCCCCACCATGTTCCTATAAACGAGACAGTGTAAATAAAATGAATCCCCGCCAAGTGAAATTCTAACAGTTGTTATGGTTTCAAAAGGTTAAATAAGTAAAACACCAAAATGATCATGTAGAAACATATAAAAGTAAACCCAATGACCATAACAAAAGTACTCGATGTCTTAAAGGAAGACAGAGCAACAAGAAAATCACCTACAAGGGCCCGACGAAGCAAGACAGAAGACAAACATTAAGGCAATCCAGTCCCAAAGGGCTTTAAGAACTGACCATCATATAGTCTCCCACTTGGTCCGTTAGATGTAAATAAAAGAGGAAAGCCCAGTGCCCTAATGTAAAAGGGTTGAATACTAAGCATGCGGTATTTCTTTAAATAGTAGGGTCATAACCCCTTTTAATAAAACGTTTTATAATTTTAGTAAACACAACAGAAAAATTACAATGACCCAAGATCTTACGAAGTTTGTAAACCACATCACCGTAAAAATCAGGCTGGCTAATCCCTTGTCGCAGAAGTGTTTTTAGATCACTATTGAATTTTGAAATTAAATCAAAGTTACGATTGTAAAATTTTGTAAAATATTTACGTAATTTATAATAGCGGTAGCCCTGTTTTAGAAGCTTACCGGTAATGAAAATATTTCGCTCGTTAAAATCCTTTACGTTGCTACAAGCTCTAGCAAATCTAATTAACTGAGATATATAAACCCCGTAAGACGTTGCGTGCGGTACGTCTCCATCCAAATGAGGATAATTTACTATACTAAAATCAAAGTCATCTCTTTTATCATAAATTTTCGTGTGAATCGAATTGTTTTTGATAGTGATATGAAGATCCAAAAATGATGTAGTTAAATTTCAAGAATTCGTTTTATTAAGTTGTAGCTCCGTAGGATAAATATTAGACACCATTTGATCAAAAAAAGAATTATCTAAATTAAAAATGTCATCAAGATATCTGGAAGTGTTATTAAATGCTGATATAACATCTTGTTGTGTATTTTCAGAGAGACTTAACATAAAATCTCTTTCATAGCAATACAATAACAAATCGGCGACCAGGGGTGCACAATTAGTACCCATAGGAATTCCTATGATTTGCTTGAATAGGGTATTACCAAACCTGACATAAATATTGTCTAAAAGAAAGGAGAGTGCTCTACAAACTTCGTCACAGGTCCACATAGTATATTGTTTAACAATACAGTTAGTAAAGAAGGCTTTTTGAGAGTTACATGCAAGAAATG